CCAATAACACAATAAATTATAACTATTGACTCAAATATTATAACTAAAGGTGCATATATTACCGACCTTAAGACATATGTACCATAGAATTTCTTAAAATAATTTACTTATTTATTTTTAAACAAAGGAGGAACATGTGCGAACTAGGACGGGGCACCCTCTAAGTTTCGAAAATTTTGTCCATAGTCCACTGTATTGTTAGTTATGATATATTGTGATATTAGTTATTATAGAAATTTTGTTATAATTTAAGAGTTATTTTGTTATATCTTATGTAATATTTAGTTATATCTCAATTTTTAATTTTTATTTTTTTTTAGTTGTGACTCATATAGTATTGAGTTATATAATTTGTGAAAATCAAACTCACAAATAATATAACTTTACCCATAACATTTCCTTATTTCAAAATACATAAATGCTAATAAGTACCCTATGGCACTTGTTAATATTGGAAATGTGAGAAGAAAAAAAGTCTAAAAGGTTATAAAATGTCTTGAAATTTATAAATAAATAAAAAATGTATTGAATTTAATAATAGATGCGATAAAATCTAAAATTCCCGAGATATTTATTTGTGAATGTGTATCAATTTTAACTAGTAAAATCTAAGAAGACACAAAAGAATTATACAAATGTACTTTCAATTATCTAGTGAATCCATACCTGAATCAAATCGACCCCTATGTGCCTTTTCTAGGGCATCTTCACCTCGGAAATGTCTTGCCTAAAGTTGAATCCATAATGTCGATGTCGAATCCATGACGATGAATCCACCAAAGCTTCAGCCTCAAGTTCTACGGAACCCATCAAAGAACAACTCTATCTTTTGTGAATAAAACAAACTAAACAAACCCTTTGATATAATCAATTCAATTCATGATTAAACTCCCACAGAAATCAAAGGAAATAGGTAAAGAAGTTCTAGAAGAAAACCCTAATACCCAAGAAGAAGATCTAGAAGTCGTACCCTAAAGACAGATTGAAAGGCAGGTTCACAGAAAACAAAAATGCGATCTTTGCTCGAGCTCAAGAATGGCCGCTCGACCAGACTGACTAAAATACATGTTTCAAAACAAGGTTCTATGTTAGAGCGTAGGAAAGACCGCTTGAGCGGAAAAATACAACTCCCAGTACTTTTGCAGGGGAGTGAAACTTTTAAAAGGTCGCGGTCTCCACTCGAGCACAAGAATGACCGCTTGAGTGGAAAAACAACTTAAATTGCAATTTTAGTTGCCCCGGACCTGCCAAGGGGCGCTGCCCCTTACACCCCTGCGAGCTGACCGGGCAGCTCGATCACCGATATAGTCAGCGAAGTGACAAACATGATAGGATTAAGATCACAAACTCCTCCGCATAGGCACAACTCGGATTGGATTCGCATTTAAAACTTATAACCTTACTGAAATAAAAGATCGAATAAAATTATAATTGAAAGGAATCTTGTTAAACAGAATTGCCAAGAACAAAAACCTAACAAAATATCTAAGAATTGACATATATATATATATATATATATTTTTTCTTTTCTTGTGTCCTAAGAGCATTTGTTAGTAAGGCTCTATAAAATAATAAAGTTTATTGATCCCTAATTTTATGAAAGTTTACTTACTAATTCTCTATTACATTGTAATATAATAATTCTCATTATTCTCATTATATATTACAATTTAATAGATATATTACAATGTAATAGAGAATTAGTAAGTAAATATATTTTTGCGGTAAATTATATCAGTAGTCTCTGCATTTTATTCTTTGTGTCATTTTGGTCTTTATTATTTCAATTAGCTCGATTTTGAACATTAATTTTGATTTTGTATCAATTTAGCCCAATTAATAATACTAATTAGGGTTTAAGAAAAATGATCGCTCACTTAGTTAAGTTTAACATATTAAATTAAACAAATTAAACAATTTTATCTACTATAAAAACATGGAAAATGAGTGGGAGCACTAATTAGTGCTACCACTAATGATGTGGCAGTAGGCCCCACCATGAATGATTTGATATTTTGGCCTTGGTGTTATATTTTTTTTCTTTTTTTATTGAGTGCCATGTCATTAGTGGTCTTTTTAGAGCTCCAAAATTAGTGGTCTCTATCATTGTTGTAAAAACATAACATATCCACTTATGTGTACATTTTTCATCCAAAAAAAAAATAATAATAAAATAAAATAAAATAAAAATTGTAATCAACTAGACGAAATTGAGACAAAATCATAAACTCATGATCAAAATCAAGTCAAGTGAAATCACATGGACTAAAATGATACAAGTGCTAAAGTATTGGGATTACTAGTGTAATGTTCGATATTTTAATAGTCAAAGATGGATGTAGCACACAAAAAAATTTTATTGTACTTTTTTCAAACGTAACACTCTAATATAATACACTAAAAAAAATTTTAGTGCATTTTTCACTCCAATGTAACATACTAAAAAATTACTTAGTATACTTTTATCAAACGTAACAATGTAAAAAAATTCCTTAGTGTAATTTTTTTTCAAACATAACACTCCAATCAATGTAATATATAAAAATTTCTTAATATTTTTTTTTAAACGTAACACTCTAATATAGCATTCCAATGTAACACCAGAAAATCACACTAACAAAAATGTAAATTTTTAGGCTTGACAACCAACATTTTAGCCACCAATCTCCTTAAAAAAAATCTTCCACATCTCACATTTCCATTCCCATACCCAAATAAATAAATAATAATGGAAAAATGAATCACAAAAGGACGTTAATTTAAACTCAAATAACACTAAATGAAATAATTACAACTTTTCAAAACAAAAAAGACTAATTGATTTATAAGAAAACTCTTAGAACCAAATGAATCAACATTTCCCCATATGAGATTTATAAGTAAATTTTCCTTATATTTATTAGAGATGTGAAATAATCCAAATAAGTCAACAAGCCAATAAATTACTTATTTTTTGTGTACCCAAAACAAGCTCAAGTCTACTAACAAAATGACTTAAAATGGTAGTCTAATCAATTATATATTGATTTTTAATTCATAATTCAAAATTTTAAAAGAGAATAAGAAAAGTTGAGTTGTTACATTTATCTAATTTTCCTTATAAAATACTATTTTCACAATATTTATGTAACAAATTATTTTTGATTAGTCATATATCAAAACTAATCTAATTTTTTTATGCACACAAGTTGCCCCCTAAATAAAATTTATGGTTCCGAACCTATTTCTAATGACTTGAATTTTTAGATGAGATAATAATTAATAATTTATCAATAAGAATAATGCTTGGGACCCCCTTTTGGGGGTCACCCCCTCACCCCCCCCTTTGCCACGTGGCAGGGGGTGATTGGTGGAGCAGGAAAAAAAAGAAAAAGAAAAAGAAAAGGTAACCAATGAGAGAGAGAGGGGGTCAAAGGGGATGAGAGAAAAGGGGGGATGAATCATTACTCTATCAATAATTATCAAAGCTATAAAAAGAATGAGAAATGTAGAAAAATAGAAAGATGAGATATTGCAAAAGAATGAGGAATTAAAAGTAGTTGCATCTATCATGGAAAGTTATAAAAATAAAAAATAAAAAAACAGAAGCAAAATTATGAACAAATTTACAATATTGTCCCTCCCATTTTTTGCCTAATCTTTTATCTCTGCTATTCCTCTCATTTTCCATCCATTTCCAACCAAAAGCAATCCCCCCATCCACCCTTCCTAGCCACCGGCCAACCTTCTTAGCTACCACCAGCTCCACCATCATGAGTTCCTGCCCTCTACAGTCAAAGATGGGTGGAGACAAAGAGGGAGAGGGAGAGGAACAGAGGAGAAAGATAGAGAAATGACATTAGGGGAAAAAAAATGAGAGGGATAATATTGTAATTTTGTTCATAATTTCCATAATAGATGTAGTTATTTTTATTCCCTCATTCTTTTGTAAGTGAGAGCCAAGGTAATTGTGTGTTTAACTTCTAATAGACATTTTTTTTCCCCTCTACATCTTCCATAATGTATTGGCATGTTGAATTTACGTACTATGAATTTATATATAATGCAATAATTTTTCAAACATTTCTATACTGACATAAAAATTATACTGAAAAACTCTACTAAAATAAGGTATTTTTGCAATTAAATCCCATCTTGATGCTTACTTTGTTGTGAAGTGACAGGCTTTTTTTTTTTTTTTTTGAAGTGATAGGTATTATTTGGCTACCCCATTTTGTTTACATTTTTATTTTTATTTTTATATATTTTTTATTCTTATCATAAGAAAATTATGTTTTTTTTCATACAAAAAATACTAGGAGGTATAAACATATTTAAGAGAGAGAGAGAGAAGAATTTTTTTTATTAGAGAAAATCAAGAAAATTAATTGTGAAGAGAAAGATAGTTCTCATGTGCCCTAGATATATGTATTGCTTGTAATATAAGAAGAGTTTAGATAAGGCCGACAATTAAAAATATATTGTATGAAAAAAATTTACAAACATTTTCTCAAGACGGAATTGAGCCATAAATGACTCCAATCCCACTAGCATTATTACTCCAAGACTGGAACCCATGTGCTCATCAACAAACTACATAAGAGTAAGACCCCAAGCACTAGACTGACACCATACGATGATCCACTGTTTTACAATTACTTTTCTCCCTTTCTCATTTTTCACATATGAATAATATTAAGAATCATAAAAAAAATATTATAAAATGTTTTATAATTTTTTTTTATTCTTTAATTATTGTGTAGTATTTTATTGCATTTGTAATCTAAAAATGTAAAATCTTTAATGATCATTTTCATAATATTTTATTTATGATTCATAAAATTACTGTTCACGTATATATATTCTCTCAAAATATAAGGAGATGTAGGTATTTTGTGTAATTTGAGGAAAAAGCTTGGACAAAATTTTCATCACCACCTACCAAACCTTTAATAGAATAGAGTCATGCGTACGAATTATGATGAATCAATCCCTCTACTTCCTCTCACTTTCCTCCATTTCCAAAATATAAAACTTTACACCACAATATTCCACAAGTTAAATACAAAGTGTCCAACCTCATTACACAAACTTCAACCCTCATTTCACAACCCCAAAAAGCAACCCCTCTGAGAGAGAGAGAGAGAGCAAAATCTAGCAAAAGAGGCCATGGTTCCATACTCCCAAATTCTTGATCAGCTACCCCTAAATGAGAATGACTCACAAGACATGGTCCTATGCGAGGTCCTAAACGAGGCCAATGCCCTTTCCACCACCATCACCACCACCACCACCACCACCCTTACCACCACCACCCCACTTTTCCACCACCCCAGAAACCACCAAACCAACAACAACAACATTATTGCCCACAACCTCTTCATCGACCCGAACCGTGCCATAGCCAAGAAGCACTACAGGGGTGTCAGGCGACGCCCCTGGGGCAAGTTTGCCGCAGAAATCCGTGACTCTGCCAGGCACGGGGCCTGGTCCTATGCGAGGTCCTAAACGAGGCTAATGCCCTTTCCACCACCACCACCACCATTACCACCACCACCCCACTTTTCCACCACCCAAGAAACCACCAAACCAACAACAACAACATTATTGCCCACAACCTCTTCATCGACCCGAACCGTGCCATAGCCAAGAAGCACTACAGGGGTGTCAGGCGACGCCCCTGGGGCAAGTTTGCCGCAGAAATCCGTGACTCTGCCAGGCACGGGGCCCGCGTGTGGCTCGGTACCTTCGAGACTGCCGAGGAGGCCGCTTTGGCCTATGACAGGGCAGCATTCCGGATGCGCGGTGCCAAGGCCCTCCTCAACTTCCCTGCCGAGGTAGTCATGGCCATGTCATCATCATCATCATCATCGTCGTCGTTGCAAAGATTTAACAAAAGTTTGAAGAGCTTAGAGAGACATAATTCTATTGCAAGTAGTGGAAGTTGTGAGGATGATTCAATTGGGATGTCTCAATCGTCAGTGCAGAGATTTGAGGCCAACTTGAACTTGAGTTTGAGGAGCTTAGATCAACATGTTTCTAATTCTAGAATTGGAAGTTGTGATGAAATTTCAACTGGAATGTCTCAATCCGAATCTGAGGTTACAACTGTGGGATCACATGATTCGGGCTCGGATTATGTCGAAAATTTGTTGAGGGTTTCTTGAAAAAATTGTTAAGGAGCCAAGTTGCCACATATTTTCATTTTTTTTTTCCAACTACTAAATTATAGATCGAAATTTATGTGTAGAGATTTTCACATGACATAATTGCTAAGAGTGTATTGAGATGAAAAGAACAGAGGTTGTATAAGATCTTTGGTCTCACATTGGGATGTCTGGAATGTAACGCTTTTATATTTTAGCAAGAGTAGTGCTACTAATGTTATACTCCCACAAAAAGAAATGTACAAAAATAATGTATGAATCAAATTTTTTTTTTGGATATGATTCATAGCTTTTATATTTAGTTTTTATTTTTATTTTACATTTTACTTTGATTTCCTTCACTGTAACAAAACATAAAAATATTTCCACTAACGTTTAATAAAATAATTACCATCACACTGACTTAACACCACAACAATCAAAATACTTTCGATTTTTCTTATAAACATTCAAAATTGATTAAAAAACAAAGACAAATTTCAACTTATTATTTCTAGATATTCCTAAATACATGTTTAATATGCATATGAAATAATTTTTAAAAATTCAATTATATTGAGTACATAAGTAAAAAGTAAAAAGTTTTCTGGACAATTAAATTTTAATTTTATTTAATTACGAAACAAGAGACACATGCACAGGAAAAATTACACATAAACGTGGTATGCCCTTGCAATTCTATTGGATACATATCCACTCTTTTCTATTTTTTCTTCTATGTATTACATAAAACAACCAGTAGAATTGGAATAACACACTGTCTAGTTGGAAAACCTGTAAGACAAAATAATTCCTCCACACATAGGGATACACTCCCTTATTCCTTTGTTGTATAAATTAGGAAAAATAACAAATCAGTATAGTAGTTGAAAAAAAATTCAAAATAGTGATAAAATTTATAAATTTTAATTATTAAAGACATAATTTTTTTCATGTGTAGATCATTATTTTTGGAAGGTACATTTGATTTGTAATTTTCCCTATAAATTATGAAGAGTAAGATTTCGTGTCACTCCCAAAGATCATCAAAAGAAGATCGGTCAAATAGCGATAATGACAAGAAAAGAAAACCACATCAATAATGTAACGAAGATGTGTGACAATTACATTGGAAGTTTGCATCATCTCCACACTTTTCTTTTTCTATCTAAATCGATACAAATCAATGGATATCTATGTAGTAAAACATATTTTAAGCATTGATTGTGTACGTGTCACATGAGAAACATACTTTAAATGACATTTTGCATTAAAATCATGTGTAAATTACACTTTGCCTCATTTATGTGGACTTGGGGTCACTGTTGTGCCATTGGCACAACAGTGACTGTTGTGCTTCATTTTGTGGTGCATTATGGATTTATTTTTATAATCTGAACCGTTCATGTTGTAGGGTTTGTTCAGTACTTCATGCCTACCAAAAATCATATTAATCGGATATCAATAACTATATGATCGAATAGCATATTTTTATACTATTTTTCAAAAGAAAAACTTCTTGTTTATCCTCATTTATGTGGACTTGGGTCACTGTTGTGCCATTGGCACAGCAGTGACTGTTGTGCTTCATTTTGTGGTGCATTATGAATTTATTTTTATAATCTGAACCGTTCATGTTGTAGGGTTTGTTCAGTACTTCATGCCTACGAAAAATCATATTAATCGGATATCAATAACTATATGATTGATAACCAAAAAAATAAACAAGAAGTTTTTCTTTTGAAAAATAGTATAAAAATATGCAATTCGTTCATATAGTTATTGATATCCGATTAATATGATTTTTGGTAGGTATGAAGTACTCAACAAATCTTACAAAATTAAAAGTTCAGATCATAAAAATAAGCACATAATGCACCTCAAAATAAGGCACAACAGTCATTGCTGTGCAGTGACCCCAATTCCCATTTTTATGTTTGGTCAGTTTTTCACTTTGGTCGTTGAAATTTTTTTCCCCTCACTTTGGCTTTCATATTTCAAATCTTTCTTAATTTACTCCTAAAACTAATTTCTATTCAAAATTAAACAAAATATGCCACATTAATATGACAAAAATATTTTATTATAGTAAGATTTAAGTGTAAGTTTTATATAATAAAATATTTTTTTGTCATATGGTTGTCAATGGGTCATTTTCTATCTAATTTTCAGACATAAGTTAATTTTTGAAGTAAATTGAAAAAAAAACTTGAAATATAAAGGAAACAATAATAATTTAAAAGCTAAAATAAAAAATAAAAAAAATAACCAAACATTAAAGGCGCAAACTATTGGACTATCCTTTTACTACCAAAAATATACTAAAAATGTATCCTAACCTCAATATAAAAGATCCTGTAACTTTTTACTTGCATATGGAAACCCAATCATCCATCAAATTTACTAAAGAAAAGTTTAATATATTCATTACAATATATAAGAGTTTTAGGAATTAAATTTTTTTATTTTAAAAGTAAAAAAGTCGTTACAAAAAAAAATCTTTAGTGATAAATTTTTTAAAATATCACTAATAAATTTATTTTTTTATTTATAAAGAAATTTCGAGCAGAAAGAGATTATTTTTTTATACAAAATTTTGGTCTCAAAATAATCATACTTCATCACTAATTGTGACTATGTTTTTGTGGTGGGATACAAATTGTATGTCGCTAATTAAAATAATTGTATATTCAATAATGATCCATGCTATAAAAATGTTCAATTATTTTTCATTTTATTAACTGATGTTTTAAAAACACTCTCAACAAAATTGCTATTGAAATTTACAATAATATTATATACCCACAAAAATTACCTCGTAAAGTAACAAGAAAAATATATTTATATACCACAATCATTCTGAGTGTAACTCACATTTCATCAACTTCAAATATGTATTATAAGCCTCATTTTTGAGATAAAAATTATTGCTAAATTTATTTTTTTTTTAAAAAAAAATTGACCAAATTAATTTTGTTAATAGACTAATTGTAAAGCTAACGTGTGTAAATTTGATCATCCTTTTAGATGAATTATATATGAAAGTAGTTCAATAGATATATATAGACCATCGCATGAATGAGACAATAATTAATAATAGCTTTCAATAGAAGCAAAATCACCAAGTCCTTCTAGAATTTTCCAACTCCTTTCTTGAACCCTCTCCTACATAAAGCTAACGTGTGTAAATTTGATCATCCTTTTAGATGAATTATATATGAAAGTAGTTCAATAGATATATATAGACCATCGCATGAATGAGACAATAATTAATAATAGCTTTCAATAGAAGCAAAATCACCAAGTCCTTCTAGGCTTCTAGACCCCACAGTTTTTTTTGGAACAGAGACGTAAACCACTTTAATATCTTTGAAAAAATGATAAATGAATGGAATTGGTTTTCTAGAGAATTCAAATATCAATGCTGTATGAAGAGAAAATCATTTTATTTTTATTTTTATTTTTTTCCCTTGGAAATAACAAAATTGTAGTCTTGGTTCAATTCATGCTTACAACTAAATATTTTTAATTAAGAATCGAACTCCTCTCAATTTTTGGTGGTAAATGTAAAATTTTAGTTCATGAAAATAATTGATTAATAACTGTAAAAAAGGCTGATCACTGAATATTCATAATAAACCCCTTTTTCTCTTGCCCTACTTTTCTACCACATTCAAATTAACCCTGAATTGGTACCAATTGAAATATATTTTTTATGTTTATTTTGTGGCTTATAGAGTACTTATTTAAAACATAGTACAAAAGAAGAAAAAATTAAAAGGAGGTAAATTATATACTTATTTTAAAGTTTGAAAAAAATAATGTGAGTTCTATAGTATTGACTCACCATCCTTTCAATAATAAATATATTAACGGTATTAAGTTTTCTAATTAAGGACACTCATGCTATGTACTCATTTCTTAAATTTTTTGGGTCATCAGGCCCAAGCTCTAACCACTTTGGACCAAAAAGACACAATTTGTTCAAAATAACACCGCGACCAACCAATTTGGACGCCTCAGGTAAGACCTAAACATGAGGCCATTTCACATTCAAATATATCTTAATTTTTCATATTGTAGTTTGATTCAAATTTCATTTTTTTCACTTTTTGTGATGCAAAATTACTAATTAAATTTATGTAACCAAGTTTTTCTAGCAAATCTTTTTTAATTGATAACCACGCTATTTCATTTAATATTTTTTTTATGACATAGTCAATTTAAAATATATATGGTTATTAATTGTAATTTAAAATTCTCATTATGAAAAGCGCTTGTTACATGTATTATTAATAATATTTGGATAAATTATAAATACACTCCCCGAGGGCTACTTAAAATACAGATTACCCCTTTACAAATACCCTGTTGTCAGAATTTTTTATTCAACAGAATTAACTAAAAAAATGAAATTCATAATAATTCTCCTATACAATAATAAAATTACTTAAATTACTAATTGAAACATATTTCTAATATCATTAAAAATTGTTAATTGACTTGATGTTTTATTAATAAAATGGGCGATTTGTTATGAAATTGAAATCCTCAAGGGATGGAATGTAATTTTTAGAACCACAAGAGGCGATTCGTATTTTAATCAAATTTCAGAAGGTATATTTATAATTTTACCCTAATATTATTTTATAGTCAATGCACGAATTTAAAAAACTAGAAGTGGTGAGCACACATGAAGCGCGTACATGTGATCATTTTCTTTAAAAGAAATAAGATTGTGAAATACACGATTGAATTCGAAAATCAAAAATAAAAACATTTTACGATTTTTTTTTTCTTTTTAATTTTTTTGGCCAAAGTTAGACTTCATTGATAGAGAAAAACATATACATCAAGAATGGTTATCCCATTTCTCTAGAAGGAAATACAACTAGGGTTTAGTATTCCAAATATGAACACTCGAACAACCAACAAGCATAACCCGCAACATACTAAGGCCACTAACTGACAACCATAACCCGCAACATACTGCGGCCAAACAACCAACAGAGACAAATTTAAACCTCCATGGAAAAGGAGAAAAGCCTCTACAAAGGAGGAAAAATACAATAAAACAAAATACAAAAATAACACACACACACACACACACACACACACACACAAATCAAAGAACCAAATTCGCACAATCCGTAGCTCAAGACCAACAAACAGCACAAGCGTCGACCTCAGATCTACAACCCACGGAAGCAGTGAATGCCAGAATTGTAAAAAACCTAATATCTGATGGTAAAATACTAGATATGAGAAGAAAAAATAAGTCAGGAAACAGAGAAAACTCA